CCCGCCAACACTAACTTTACCAGACCGATTCGATGTTCGATTGATCGGTTTCAAAATTTAATTTAAAATTGTACGTACATTCTTGTTTCTTCCGTTCGTCTAACTTTATGTAAATTCTTCTATTATCTGATTTATCAAATTCTCAATTCTTTTTTGCTTCTTTGTTGCCGAGGAAAATTCATCGCCTAACTTACCGCCTGTTTACCGCGACCACTGTCGTTTGACCGGTCGACGAATTTACATCTTTTTCCAAAGTTCTCTATCTGGGACCTTAGCTCGGAACTCGAGTAAGATCTAACCAGCTATAGTTGTATACATGTAAATGCGATATGTGCTTGGCTGCGTCGCAAGCACTTGAATAATCTGAGTGCATGTCGCGTAACGTAGAAACACAACGGAGTCTTATCGAAGACTCTGAAGAAACACTTTTCAAGAATACACTGTCTCTATAATGAGTTGTAAATGTAGTATCATTGAGAGAGTGACGGAGTACGGATCGAAGCCTACGAGAAATCGAATGCGACAAGGAGCGAACAAATCTCGTAATATTCAGTGCATTAGCTTTGTGTTTTGTTTTATCTCTGAACATGTCCACACGTTCAGTGAGAAAGTTAGCGAAAAACACGCAAAATGAGAATGATCTGTTCGTCTATCTTCTCTCGTTTATATTACATATAAAAATGAGAGTATATGATCAATTATTTTATTGTTACTTAAAAGTTATGTCGTGCGTTATTTGCTACGATAAATTGACAGTTTCTTTCGAAGAAACAACGTCTATTTCGTAGAATATAAGATAAGGTACAGGTGAAGCTTTAAGCGGTACGGTCAGCGTTAACTTACAAATACGAGCAAAATAACATTAGGTCGTCTGAAAAGTTTCTTTCGTTTCATAAGGAAATAATCAATGCACAACATTTTCCGTTTTATATCGTTTTATCGAATTACGTATGATCCATTTTATTCTATCAAAATAAAGATCACAACGTTCGACAAATGTCCTACTGGACAAATTGTAAAATGTAAATAAATAAATAATAAAAAAAAAATCGTTCGACAGATTAGGTTTCATGTTTGTATAAAGATGCGTTGTTGTGAAAGACGTGTCTGTAAAAGAACACACTTTTCGGACAACTTAATAATTATATAATTATTCTCATAAATATCGTTGTACAGTGGATGCAACGAAGCTTGAGATTTACCAGTGTTTGATCATTGAATGATAAAGATCTATCTTTGAAGCTACTCGATGGAGTGTTATGCTTTCCGAATGAGAATATGGGACACATGGAAGTTTCTGTTAGGAAGCCGGCCTCGTATTCATATAAATCTGATAGTTCGACTGATGAGTGTAAAGTGGAAGTTGTTCTCAATGAGGTAAACGATTATGAAGAAAATTACGATACGCAATGCTTGTTTTGTACGGGCTTTTACTCTCCGCATGTATCTTGTAAGTGCACGATGCACGATGGATTAAACGTATAAATAAAGCGTTATCGTTTCGTTAGCGAAAAAGAAAAGGAAAAAAGAAAAAAACAAACATACGGATTAGCAACCCATTTTTTAAATCTGGCTGTTTTTATCATTTGTATTTTTATTTTACTACGAAGAAATTGAATATTTTTGTTCATTGCATTTTTCCGTAGGTTTCGAAAGAACACATATTTTATCTTCAAAACGTGCAGTAATTTTTAATAAACGCGTTATTTCCTTTAACGTCGAGAGTTACGACGTTAAAGGGAAACGAGTCTCGTGCCAGGCATCGTCATCTCAAACGAATTACAAAATTTTTGCTACGCATTAAAAAATATTTAATTGAATAATTAGAGGGAAAGTAGTCGGTGCCCTCGATTAAATAGTCAGGTATCGTACGTTTTCAAAATTCTTGACTGCGAAGCGATTGAAAATCGTGGAACTGGATAAATCCGGGCGCCGTTGCCCTCTTTATCGGTCTACCGATTTTTCAGCGTTTCCCTCGTCAGAGAGACAAGCTATAGAAAGAGGGAGGGGGCGGAAAAAAAAAAAAAAAAAAAAATACCGTTCGCCAACCTATTTGCGCTTCGTTCCGGACTCTTACCCTTTGTGGTTCGCTGGAAACGAACCAATTTCTCGCAAAGAGATTCGAAAATCAAACGCGAAACAAAGAGAAGAACGCGGAGAAGGAGCAGGGAAATCGTATCGATCGGCTTGGTGGTTGTTTGTTCGTTCGATCGGGCCAGCGAGAAAGTCTCGGTTTTCGCGTCGAGGCAACTTCGATTAACGCGCGTTGCTCGCCCCAACGAGCAAGTTAACGCCTGCGGATATTCGCAGATTTCCTCTGGAAATCATTGTTTCCAGAGCGACTTACTTTCGTTGGACAGTGGGATCGCTGCTCGTCTGGCACGCGTTCGCGATCTTTTCAGTCGGCTAACAAAGAGAAAACGTTCTCCGCAAAACGGTTAATGGACGACGTCGCGGTGCACTGCTTCCGAGAAGCACCGTAATCGCGGTAATTTTCCAGCTTCCGTATTAGGGTAGGGGCCACTCGATCGGCGGCAGCCTTATCGATCAGATCTCGTCCGGACGAGACGGCATCTCCTTCCGTAACAGGCTTCGCCGTACACGTGTAACTCGTCACAGCCTGAGGCTCGCGCGGCCGCGATTTATCGCCCATGTCTCGGCCGATCTTTCCGATTTTTCCTTCCTTTTCGTTGTACCTTGAGCGATAGACCTGTGCCGACCGCTCGGCAACATTCGCGATATTTTGCAAGCATTTAGTCGAACGACGATGGCGAACAACCGTGAACAACGACATCGTCTACCCACGCACAGCTCCAACGCGGAAGACGCTTGAGTGCACGTTCCAGGACGATCGGCGATCGGACGATACTTATGTACTTGTATATAGGATGTCCCTAAAATGGTTGTACAACAGGTCAGGTAGCGATTCTGCATGCAACGATAAGCCGAGAAAAGAGAAAATAACATTCTTTCACTCAAGACTTTGCTTCCGAAAAAAATGATGCACGCTGATCGCAAGTTTCCAACTACGAAACTTCTGTTTCTGCTCGCGTTTGTGTTACGTATTGAATGCCAAGAGTGTTTCAAGGATAATAGCGTCGAAGACTTAAAAGCAAACGTAGCTTCGGCTTTCCAAGACTTGCAAAATACATACAATTGGCTACATGTGCGCGATAATTTAGTTGGAAGAGTGCAGCTGTGTGTGCAACAGTACTTGTTACGTTAATCGAAGGATTCTTGAAAAGTATGCCAAGTCTCATCCTTATTCACGAAACAATTCAAATTAAATACAGAATAAAAAAAAGTAGTAGTAGTACGTACAATTCGATATCACGGAAATAAGATAACAGCAATAACAGGCAGCTTCGTAGCTGGGTAATACACGGTTACCTGTCGAATTCTCAAACCTTTTTTTTTTGAAAACAGAACCTTAAATGAAAATACGTGTAGTATAGGGTAAAAAGGCCTAAGAAACATCGAGTTAACCATAGACAATGTCGCGAGAGCCGAGGCTATTAATGTGTCCTCGGTCTTTTCAAGTGCCTAGTTTCGTTAGAAAAGACCTACCTGACCCTGGCTGCGAGCGTCTGCGGAACACGTGTGCGGTGGGCCTGGCAAAGAACAGAAGAGATGCTACAACGGCCAGAAAGTTAGTTGAGAAGCCCAGTGTGAGTCGAGAGGTCACAGAGTGTGAATCGACGTACGACGATATTGTAGTCGGCCCTGTTGTTATTGAGTATCGCTTATTAAACTACACTAAACTCTAAATATAACATCATTACTTGTCCTTACTCTAAGAATCCATACGTTACTACATACGTTATTCTTTTCTTCTCGACTTATTGCTGCGCGAAGAGTCACCATCCTACGTATTAGAACCGAGCCGATCGTAATCGATCGGTGGTCAATCAATTGGCAACGAGGCGATCACCCTGCCAGACTTATCAGGGAGACCGATGTCGTTTCGATGTTACTATCGACCATATTACAGAGTATATTTCATGCGTTGTAATATTGTAATACGCAAATAAAGCACCGTTTTGTTAAGCAGTCCGATTTTACCGTGCACACCCGTTGTACACCGCGAGGGATAAGGCTGCCAATGCGAACAACCTACTACCATTGCAGCATTCGTTTTATTCTATCGGATCGTTCTGTCAAAAATCCGAAGAAAAAAGAACCAACCAGCGACCAACCGAGGAAACGGATAACGAAACGCGGATCGTTCGTCGCGATAAGAGAAACAAGGTTCGCGGCAAGGTTGCGCCGCTTATCGAGAGAAGGTTCGAAGGGTGGGAGCAACTCCGACAGAAGGAGCTTGAAACGAGGCGAGAAACGTTTAACAGCGAACCTTCCAACGTAAAAGGTACTCTCTCCTTCCCCCCGATTTCTCTCTTTCTCTCTCGTACAGCGTATTCCAGCTATCGGAACGAACAGAGTCGTTACGCTCGATTCGAATCGCGCGCAAAATAAAAGGTGGAAAATAGAGGAGAAGAAATAAAGGAGGAAATCGTTAACGCGACTCGCGGGCCATTCCCAGCGTGGATTAAACGAAGATTAAGTAACCCGGTGGCACGACTATCGCGTGGATGGGGTCGCCATCGCGAAACGCTCGGGATATTAGGGTGATTCAAAGGGGGAACGTGAAGTTCCTCCGGGAGTATCGAACGGCGGTGGCGGCGGTAGCGACCGTGGCTACGCCGCTATTCCAAGGATGCGTAAAACTTGCACGAAATGAGAATTCGATATGTTAATTTCGGCCCGATATAGGCTACCTCCCTCCGAATACTTTGCCGGAACAAAACCGATCGCGAAAATACACTCAACTGGCTAACGATCGATGAAATCTACCGCAGCGAAGTGCCGGACTTTGAACGGAACTATTTCGCGAGAACGAAATAAAAGCAACGTACACGCGTACTGCGAGAATCTTCGCGAAAAGCAAACGATTAAACTCTCTACGATCGAATATCGTCACGGTGGCAGCATTTAGGATTTATTTTTAAAGTAGGACGGCGGGCTAAATATTTATTTATTGGAATTTGCTTCGGCCAGTATCGACTAGACACTTAGCGAGTGTCAGCGGAAAAATATACCGGTCATAAACGCGAGTTATTTGGACGGTACGAGTTACCGACGAAACGGTACCGTGGCAAAAACGACGCTTACTTAACGCTTGCGGCGCCCGCTTCTTCGTTCCTTCCTTAACGAACGGATTAACGTCACCTGCATCGCTCGGAGTAAGAAAACGATCGTTGAAAAACCAAGGACGATAAGAAGATTGGATGCAAGTCGCTCTCATTGGCCCTCTCGTAAGAGTCAGAGCAGGACGAAGGAGGGAATGAGGAAAGGGCGGAATTTGATGACTAGTGCTCGGCGAACCGAGGACGCACCGCTATTGCGTATCGTCGGAAGGAATGGTGGGAGATTAAGAATCGTAGGTAACCGAGAGAAGAAACTCGGCTGTACGATAATTACCGTTCTCCTCGAGAGGGGCGAATTTGTCCCGGCAGAGCAGCACCAAAGGCAGCCAACAGCGCGCGTAAAACGCGCCGACCGAGATCAGCAGAACCAGCACCAGCACGCCTACCAGAAACGACCTTCTCCAGGATCCGTTTTGTACTTCCAACGCGAACTGTGGCTCTGCAAAAGCAAACGTCCGCTTTATTTTCTTCGCCGTAGAAAGGCTATGGCTAGAGATGGCGAGCAAAGTGGCTAACAGTGATTCATCACGGTGATCGTTGAATCACGATCACGGGCGGTCGTGATCTAATTTCGTTCAAGACCGTGATCGTGATTTTTTTTATCTCGAGCGAATTTGCTCGCCGTGATCGTAATTCTTCATCTTGATTCAATTATTTCTTGCAAGGCACTTGGATGCAGCTTAAAACGCATACAAATATTTGCATACGTCGTAAATTACAAATTTCCTTGCGTTCTCTTTACACAACGGAAATTTACGTTGTTAGATATTGCAAATAGGAAATAATTCGATTTTCTTTTCTTTGCCTCATATCAGGATTTTAACGAACAAAACATCGATTCCTGCTGTCGATTCGAAAACCGTGATATTCGTTTGATGTGTTCGCCACCGATCGAAAGCGACCACGAAATGTCACGAATCACAGTCGTGAATCGCAAACATACCAGTTTACGCCATCTGCAGGATGAAGAAAGAGAAAGAGGAAACCCGAATTTATTTTAAGGCAGAAAAGAAAAAGCTATACTTGTTATTGCGGGTACTAATTTCAGAACAGTGCGTCTACCAGCAGTGAAAATCTTCCGAACGAATGATTCACCGAATGTAAGATTTTACGTTCTGAATCTATCATCTCGTGCAATGATATCTATCAAATTGCATCACGATCGGCCACCGGTGTCACTCGGAATGATATTTGAAAGAAAGAAACGCAGCGAAGCGGAGAAAAGGAAAAAGATTTCTTCCGCCGTGTGATGCTCGAGCGTAAACGATTCGCTGCACCGCGATTCCACGTCCGACGTCCACGAGCGTACGAATTTCGGTTAATTGGCTGGAATTAATTGGGTCACTCTGTCGACTGTTAACGAGCGACGAATTAAATCGGGAACGATTGAAATCGCTGCGAGACGTCGTTTAAACTGTTGAAAGCGCGGATCGGATTGTTAATTAGCAGCGGTTAAAAGGATACGTAGATGACCGCCTCCCCTTTCTCTTTTCTTCCTTTTTTCTCCGAGTATATCCGCGGACTCGTCTTCCCGATGCGATGCAATGAAATCCGCGCGAGGAAACAATCACGAGAGAAGGTTTTTCCCGCCGGCCGCGACACGGTTCAAAGGTCCCATTACCTTGCCGATAAACGTGAGCGGGTAACGTGATCTCTTCGTCCACGCCGTTGCTAACTTCGCACTTGTACTCCCCGTAATCTTCCAGAGTTATGTCCTCGATTTCCAGGTAAGAGCCGATGATCTGATTGTTCTCCCTGAAACAATAGTCGTTGATTAGCAAAGTAGGAGAGTAAGTAGAAACCTGGTCCACATTTATTTTCATTACCCGCCCATTTACTTTACTTCCCGATTTTATACATAGAGGCAGGAGCGGACGGGGGTTTTTTAGTTTTTAAAAACTAAACGGGAAATTACACGACCCGCCCTCCAACTTTAATTTGTCGATTCGATTATTCTACGCCGACCGGCCACAATTTCTCAAATCCCTACTGACCCACCGGTAATTTTCCCAAACTCTCGAACAAACTGTCCCGACGACCAATCCCGCTCCTGCACACAGGTAAATGTTTGCAATTTCGTGCGAATCACTCGAGAAAAGAATGCTTTTCGCGCGTGCGCTCTCTGCTACGGTACTCTCGCACTGGAGGAGAAAATTTCGACAGAATATTCGTGTCGAGTACGTAAGCGCGTTTGAGACCTGTTAACGAGTAGCTTGTGGGCGTAAACAGAGCACTCAGATTGAAGGAATATCGGTTAGGCCAGAGAAACGCGTGTGAGTCATTTAAATTTTTGAAGAAAATTCGGAACAATAAGGGACAGGAAGAAAAGAAGTAAATCGGTTCTTACTGCAAACCACATGTACCATGTGACATATTGTTACCTATTCGGTGCACTTGATGTTACTTGACGAATAAATTTTTCGATAACGAAATCAGAAAGAACAGCTATGTTTGCATTTTACATCGAGCGCCGAGCGATCTGCGAGTGTCATGTTAGTGTCTTTTCTCGCAAATCATTCGCGTGGTTATGTGGCGGATCGGTATCAACAGGACGCCGACAGGTCGAGGCATCAACGTGGCGCAACACCTCCCGGGCAATCCGCGAGTACCAACCGCCAACACCAGAGGGCTACGACGATAACGAGTCTGTCTATCTCGCTAGCGGTCGAATATACAAACACCAGAGGGCTACGACGATAACGAGTCTGTCTATCTCGCTAGCGGTCGAATATACAGGCGAATGATACAAATACCGCACCTAGCGAGACTCCCTCTACGTCTAAGGCAGGGACTACCGGGCATAGCAAGTTTTCAGGACAGAAAAAAATAAAAAAAAAATTCATGACAAAGCTCCGCTCCCCAGCGGCTTAAACCAAAAAATTGTATTATACACGAAAAATGTAAAGCGCCGACACATAATACAGCGTGGCTACGTCGTACCGCCGCGTATCGGTACCTTTGCCTAACATATCATTACAAAAATTCACCGTTTATTGTGAATATGTATCTAAAACTGTATTCTTGGGCGAAATAAACAAATTTTCACGCCACGGACTACCGGGCATAGCCTTACTGACGAGTCCACCGGTAGTCCCGGGACGAAACGCAAACTCTCTTTTCACCTAGCTTCGCTTACACCTCCTACAGATTGTTGAGAATTGTGGATCTTAATCGCTGAAATAAATGTAAAGGAACACTTGGATTAAACTCAGAATTGATATCAAGATAGTTTCAGATTTATTTGATATGTGATTTACAAGATATTCGTCGATACACATTTGCGCGCGTCACAGCTCTCTGTTTGTCTCGCCATCTTCCTTTCCACACTACCAAAGGAACAGTTGCATTCCTCTGTTTAACGAGACGCTGTGCACGCACATACTGCCACATACACTCGTACTCATGTATGTGTGTCACTACTACGCGGCTAATCCACTGTAGCACACAAAATTACACATATCTCAATAAAGATAAAAGAGGGAAAGAAGAGATGAAATAGCGAGGTTTCCGAATCGCGCAACACCGCGATCCTCGGGAACCGTGATCGATCCGCGGCGATGGGTCTACTCGTAGAGCGGCTTTGCCAGGAAAACGACGAAGACTGGAGAATCGTTCGGAAGAACACGCGCGTAGACAACGGGTCGTAAAGATCCGTGTTCCGAAGAAGGAAACGAAACGCGCATCGTTCGAGAAGCTGCGGCCATAAATGCGCCAGGTGGATGCCATATCGCGTACTTTCCGGAAAATATCGCCCCGTCCCACTTTGACCTCGCTCGCGTGAACCGAACGATCGGTCGCGCCATGTTTTCCTTTCCTCTTTTCCCTGAAAGTTACTTCGCGACGAGTCGCGTGCTTTCATTGCTTACGAATCCGTCTGCGCGTCGCGGAACCTATGTAACTACGTCTGCTGTGTTTTCAAGGGAAAAAGAAGCTGAGCTCGTCCGACGCGATGACTCGTCGTGTTGCACATCTGCGCGCCACGACCGGCTGCAGCGTGCCGATTCCTTCGCTTGTAATTTCGTTTTATCCGCGCCGATCGACAGCCGGTCTACGGCCGCGCGAATGGAATCGATCGGACGACCTCGAGGCTGCGACCACGACGAACCTTTTGTTCTCGGAATTTTTCGAGCGGCCGCGAAGCGCGAGAACGCAGAGAGCCCGCGATCATTGATCGACGAGCGAGCAGCCATAAATCAGTCGGATCGAGGGGACACGTTCGACCGGCAGAAGTTCTTTCGTCGAGGTTATTAAGCTTATAGAGCCGTCGTCAGCTGTCCATCGACGTCAGTCGCTGCGACCTCGCTATCGCGCGAACGTGTCGTGTCTCTTCTCTCACCGGGAGAAGCGGTCTTTTTTCTCGGAAGCGTGTTCGTCGCGACACGACGCGACTTCCACGACTTCTATCTTCTTTATCGCCGGTGCATTCAACGCGAGATCATGCTACTTTGCGACGTGCCTCCGACTCGAGAACTCGAATTTTCCTCGGTTCTCGGATGTAACACCGCGATATCTTCGCATGTCCGCGAAAATTTAGTTTAATCGGTTCCGGTATCCCGTCAAACGTCCGTAACGAACGTTTCGTCAGGATAAAAAATAACGGTGATAGGGCGACGTTGCGTTTTAAGCTCACGTAAAAACTCGCAAACGCGATTCCGCTGAAAAGTGGTGATTCGTTTGCTGTCGATGCGAAGCGAATCCGCCACGCGCGTCGCGTCGCGTCGCGTCGCGTCCCCCTAGTGAAAATTCAATCCACCGGCGATACTTTTTTCGAACCGCGTCCCCTCGAATC